CACAATCCACCCCCAAATTTTATGTTAATGATCCACATAGTGGAGTCGTTAATATAAAATTTTAGTATTTTGAGAGCATATTCACTACACTCAAATAATTGTTGATATATCTGTTCTTTCCTCTTTTAATCTGTTACAATACGGCATATGTTATCAAATCCCCCTGCCCCAGAGAATGGCCGCCACCAACACCCCTTCAACCACAATTATCACAATGTGATAACACCATAATTCAAGTTATTGTATATCGTGTTGTTAATAAAGTTTGCAGTCAATTGTCGATTTCTTATTTTATTAATTTATCTTTAAATCTTTGAAACATTATTTCGATAGTGTCACATTTTATGTGCATACAATCCAGTTGGATATTTGTTGAGGTCAGTTCGATACCACATAGGATAAATGTGTTTGAGCCATTCGCCCTGACCCAACTCCCATATTTATTTAATAAAAATGATTACAAAATTATCTTGCGATCTATATTTACAACTCTTCATTATATATTAATAACATTCTACTATCATATAACAAATCTCTTGCTCATAACTTTAATAATTTTAGACCTTTAACTTAAACAATTATTTCCATGGGCCACCAACAAAACCCTTTTATGTTACAATATTTATTTAATTACTCTAATTTATACAAAAAGAAATTATTATTTAAAATATTTTAATAAGTGAATAGCATTGAAAATTCCTCTAATTTCGTTTGTCTCTGGATTTGCTAAGGTATATACATTGTCAAATGGTACGGCTGCTATTACATAAGGCCCTTCATATGCCAAATTGAACTTACTCATAACTTTATTATCAGCGTCTGATCTACTAGATCTTAAAATTTTTACTAAGTCACCAATATTATATTTTATTAATCTATTTCGCTTATCAAATTTTATGTTTCTTATTCGACTTGCCTCTTTTAAATTTTTACGCACTTGTTGTCTAATTTGTTCGACATTATGTTTGTCTTTACTTTTGGAAATTACTTTGTCAAAAGACATCTCATTAGACTCACCATAAAGAATCTCACAAGGCGTGAAGCCTGTACTATTGTGATAAGAATTATTATACAATTCTTCTAATTTCGGCAATATTAACGCCCAATCTTTGTGGTTAGTATGACAAAGCGTCCTAAATAATCTGCTCAACTCTTTATTTACTCGCTCCGTTGTATTTGGTCTAGGATTTCTAACTGTGGTATATATTGGCTTTATATTTAATTCACTCATTGATTGTTTCCAGTGATTACTTACGAACTGTTTTCCATTATCTGTCATTATTGCCTTGGGCTTTATAATCTCAACAAAATGCTTTACTTTTGTTACAACAGACTTTGCTGTTGACTGTTTTAAAGGATATAATTTGATAAATTTACTGAATGAATCTTGAATGACAAATATGAAAGTGTAACCAAAGGTACCTGATACAAGCGGTCCATATAAGTCTGCCATGACTATATCGCCAATGTTTTCTGTTATTATAGATTTGCAGGGACCCACATATGTTATATTGCTTTTCTTAGATAACTGACATAAATGACAAGCCCTTAATTGGTTTTTAATATCTTTTGTTAAACCTTTCCAAAAGAATCTGTCTCTCACATATTTAATTACCTTATAGGGTCCTTGATGACCCATTTCGACATGCACTTGATTTATAATATCTTGTCTCAATGCTTTAGGTAAATATATTACTTCTTGTAAATTCGTTTTGTAATATAATACATCATTTTTCAAACTATACCTTTTAAATTTATTGTTTTGTTTTATTATGGAAGTATTTAATGTCTTTAACTTTTCAATTGGGGGCATTGTAGAAGCGTGCTCGTCGCGACCCCTGCCAGCCCTTTTCAGGGCTGCAATTCTACTAGCTGCGCACCCATGCCAACGAGGGTTAGGGCGTCCCCCCAAGGCGACGCACACCAGCTCGTCCCCGTTGGTGTGGAATGCAGCGTGCAAAGCGGCGATGGGGACCGCCACCCGTCACGCACAGCCCGACACGGTGGAAGGTGGAGGACAGAGTGCAGAGTTGGCACGTGGAATGTTAGAGGAGGCATGAGAGATAAGACGAATGAGTTGATCGAAATAATGAAAGAAAGAGAATTAGATGTCGTGTGTATGTCGGAGACCAAACGGAAGGGCAGTGGTACTGAAGAGCTCCCTGGCGGGGCGTTAGCTCTATGGTCAGGAGTCCCGGAGAGCGAGAGCGCCTGCCAGGGAGTGGGGGTGCTGCTGTCTTCTCGGTTGGTCGATGTTATGAATGAATATAAGGTTGTGAACTCAAGACTCCTCTGGGTTCGCTTTAAATTGGGACTGACGAAGTTATTCCTTTTGGCTGTTTATGCGCCGGTAGCTTCGTCGTCCAGGGCTGAGCTGGAGGAGTTTTGGGAGAATGTAAGAGAAGTTCTAGATTTGGCTAGAGGAAACGAAAGAATTGTTGTATGTGGTGATTTGAATGGATGGGTTGGTACCGCTCGACCAGGGTACGAGTCGGTACTTGGAAAGTTTGGCGATAAAAGGGTTAATGATGCTGGCAAGCTTATACTGGCGGTGTGCAAGGAAAAGGGTCTTCTTGTGACAAACACTATGTTTAATCACAAGAAAATCCATATGTATACTAGAGAACGAAAGAATGAGAGAAGTATGATTGATTTGTTCCTGGTGGATGACCGACTGCGAAAACAGGTGATGGATACGCGAGTGTTCAGGGGTGCTGACCTGGGAACGGATCACTATCTAGTGATTACTAGATTTAGGGGTCTGTTCGCGGGTTGGCGCTACCGGACGGCAGTAACAGAACCACAGTCGGTCTGTCGCATCCGAAGCTGGAAGCTTCAGGAAGCGGATACTAGGGACAAATATCATGCGAGGGTAGCCGAAAAGCTTGACACCATCGATGGCAGAAAAGAATGTGTAGAAAGAACTTGGCAGAAACTTAGGGATGGAATGGTAAGTGCAGCGGAAGAAGTGTGTGGAACAATAAAAAGAGGCAGTAGTAAAAGAAGAGATGCATGGTGGAATGATGAAGTGAAAGAAGCTGTAAAGAAGAAGAAGAAAGCATGGTTAGACTACTTGGCCTCTAGTAATGATAAGGATATGAGAGAGAAGATGAAAGAAAGATATAGGCTGCAGAAAGTTCACACGAAAGCACTGATTGAGGAAGTGCGTGAAAGGTGTAGAATGGAAGCGGACGAAAGGTTGTCGCACAACTTTAAGGAGAACTCCAAACTCTTCTGGAAAGAGGTTGGAAGGACCCGAAGTGGTGCGACGGCCTTAAGAATGAACAAAGTGCTTTCGAGAACTAATGACGTCCTCTCAGAAAAATCGGACGTCATGCAGCGATGGAGCGAATTTTATAGAGAAATGTATGCGTGTGATGACCTTAGTGAGGGATCCGGGGATGACGCCGTGACTGGTACGCCAGACCCGGACCTCGATGACACTGAGGTCATCAGTATGAAAGAGATTGAACGTGCGATTCGAAGTTTGAAATGTGGTAAGGCTGCGGGACTAGACAGAGTTACTGCTGAAATGGTCAAGTATGGTGGGCCTCGCGTCTGGGACAGCTTTCATCTGCTGTGCAATTTGTGCTGGCAGACGGGGGATGTCCCGGATGATTGGCGATCCGCAGTCATTGTGCCTTTATATAAAGGTAAAGGTTCACATTTTGACTGCGGGTGCTATCGGGCGATCAGCTTGACCAGTTTAGCAAGTAAAGTTTACTCGAAGGTTTTGACACGTAGGATGCAAGAGAAATCGGAAAGATTTCTATGGGAGGCACAATGCGGATTTAGACCTGGAAGAGGATGCACGGATCAAATGTTTTCTCTCCGCATGATCACGGAGAAGCTTCTGGCTGCTAACCAGAAGATTTTCTGTGCTTTTGTGGATCTTGAGAAAGCATTTGATAAGGTTGTAAGGAAGAAAATGTGGGAACTGTTGCCGGGGTATGGTGTGGATGGTCGATTGCTAAGGGCTGTGCAGTCTCTTTACTGTGACTGTAAAGCCTGTGTGCGGGTAGGACATGACCTGTCACCCATGTTTGACGTCCAAACGGGCGTAAAGCAGGGTTGTGTCATGTCTTCCTGGCTGTTCATACTGTATCTCGACAGCTGTTTACAGAAGCTGAAAGATAGCTGTTTGGGTGTGAAATTGGGTGACATTAAAGTAAATTGTCTGTTGTATGCTGATGATGCAGTACTTATAGCACCATCAGAGGCAGAACTGCAGGCATTAGTCACGTGTATGAAAGAGGAATGTGAAACTAAAGGTCTCCGTTTGAATGCTAATAAAACTAAGGTTCTGGTATTTGAAAGGGACGAAGAGAGAACGAAGTGTGAAATATGGGTAAATCAGGAATGTCTAGAACAGGTAAATGAAATTGTATACTTGGGGAGTGCTTTTAGCCGGGATGGAAGATGTGATTTAGATGTAGACAGGCGTGTCGCTGCCGGGAACAAAGTCAATGGTGCCCTGACTGCGTTAGTCAAAAGGCAAGGCGTAGCGAAGAGTGCACGCCTTGCAATACATAACGCAGTGTTGGTACCGACTTTGTTATATGGCAGCGAAACCTGGGTATGCCAGAAGAAGCATAAAAGTAAGTTGAATGCAGTGGAGATGCGATCTCTTCGTAAAATGTGCGGCGTTACCATGGCCGACCGAAAGCGAAACGAAGAGATTCGCAATATGGCAGGTTTGAAAGATGACCTTATCACAAAAATTGATAAGGGCGTGCTTCGGTGGTTTGGGCACGTTGAGCGAATGAGTGAAGACCGAATGGTGAAGAAAATATATAGCGCGAAAGTTAATATTAAAAGGTGTCGAGGTAGACCGAGACTAACTTTCGAAGACCATGTGAGCAAATTGCTCGAAGAGGGTAGGGTCAAAAGTACTCGGATACCTAGACGTGCATGCATGAAGAAGATAATGAATCTGAAAGAAGCGAAAGAGGTTTGTAAGGATCGTGACACTTGGCGATCTGTTCTCTCTGGCTACCCCGTCAGGGATTGTGCGTGAAGATAAGTAAGTAAGTAAGTAACTTTTCAATAATAGCCAACGACTCTGAATCTTGTAATTGATATACTGATAAGGATTTTAATTTTTCTATCAACTCAATATTCGGTTCGCTCTCTGTGTAAGCAATTTCTAAACTATTATTTTTATCCTCTTGTATTAAATCGCCATCAGGAGGATAACGTGATAGCACATCTGCAACAATATTACGTCCACCCGATATATGCTGTACTTCATAATTAAATTGTTCTATATACAAAATCCATCGGGTTACTCTACCATTGAATAACTTCATATTATTAATAAACAATAATGCTTTATGATCAGTTAGTATTATTACTTTACTGCCCCTCAAATATATTTCAAATTTCTTTAGGCTGCTTATTACAGCATAAAACTCTTGTTCAGTAACAGACCAATTTAATTCGGGGCCTTTTAAGGCTTTACTATGATAGCCTAAAATTCTCATTTCATTATTATCATCTATCTGATATAGTACTCCGGCCATACCCACACCGGAACAATCTGTTTGTAAATAATACGGCTTATTAAAGTCTGGATGATGCAATTGTATTGTATTAATAAATTGTTGTTTTATAAAATCAAATGCCTTCTGTTCTTTACCGCTCCATTGGAACTTTCGTCCCTTTTTAAGTAATTCACAGAGCGGTATTATGCTCTCGCTGTAATTTGGTATAAACCTTCTATAAAAATTGCATAGACCTAAAAAGGCCCTTAATTGTTTAATCTTTTTAGGTGCTGGAAACTCTTGGATCGCTCGAATCTTATCGGGACCTGTCTTTATGCCTTCTTTTGAAATTATAAAACACAGCATTTTAATTTCTTTACAAATAAATTCACATTTCTGCAAGTTACACGTTAAGCCAGCTTTGTTCAATTTACTTAAAACAATATCAATGTGCTCCAAATGTTTATCTAACGTTCCTGTTGTAATAATGGCTAGATCATCTAAATAGTTCACACAAAATTCTTGGACTTCTGGTCCTAATATTAAATTTATGGCTCTGCTAAAGCTTCCTACTGATGTTTTTAATCCTTGCGGCAAAACATTATATACATATGACTTTCCATTGAATGTGAATCCAGTATATTTTCTACCATCTTTATTTATCGGAATTTGAAAATATGCATTATTTAAGTCAATGGTAGTAATATAATTCGCTCCGTGAAATGAATTCAAAACATCTAATTGTATAGGTGGTTTCTCTGTTTCTGCAACCATTTTCTTATTTATGCTTCTGGCATCAAGCAGAACTCTAACTGAGCCGTCTTTTTTAAGAGTGAATGTCAATGGACTACTGTAAGGCGTTGATGTCCTTGTGATGATACCAGCTTGTTCCATTTCATTTAACTTTTCTTCCATTTTCGCTCTATATGCATATGGAATGGGATAGGACCTAGTAACTATAGGTTTATCATCGATCATTTCAATTTTATGCTCATAGCAATTGGCTCTTCCCAATTTGCTCGAAAACATATTCTTATGCTTTTCCAAAACCTTACTAAGTTTTGCCCTTTCAGAGACCTCCAATGTAGATCCTATTTTTATATTTATTAAGGGATCATCGGTACATTGTTTGATGCAGTTATTATGTAATACAGATTTATTATTATATTTGAAAGGTATAAAGTAGTCTTTGTTTTTCACGTTAAATTCTATTCCAACAGTAGTATTTCTCAAATCAATCAATATTTTATTTCTCTTGAGCCAGTCAAAGCCTAATATTAAAGGTCTTATTAAATTACCTACAATTAAAGTTTGTGTTTCAAAGACTACTTCATCTATCTTTATAGGCAATATGATCATCTGTTGTATTTTTGTGCTGCGCTGCCCAACAGCACCTTTTATTTGCATTGCTTTAACTGGCATTATTGATATTTTACGATTATTATCTTTAATTTGTAAATATAAACTTTCTGAAATGCATGTAACATCGCTCCCAGTGTCGAGGAGCGCGTCTATTTCTTTGTCAAATATTGAAACTTTAATTTCAGATTTCATGTTCCCTATAAATTCCCTTTGATATTTATCTTCGTCTTCCTCGAAGACGGTTTGCACGAATAACTCCGTTATGGGCAAGTCCGACCTGGCTTTTAAGGTGTTTAATATGCTATTTACATTGTCGTTATAACCAAGGCCTTCTCTGTTAAAATTTGCTTTTAAAGTAATAGGTTTTCGCAACCCTCTATTGTTTTTACCCAATGTTTGACCAGGTCGCCAACCCAGTTTTAATAACATATTTAATGCTTTGTTCCCTTTTACATTGTAAGGGGTCGAATCGGGAACTAGTTCGACCTCTACAGCTCTAAATTTGGCTCAGGGGCCGTAACATCAGGTTGGTCATTAGTGAAATGTATTTCATGTACTTCATTAACCTTCTTTTTTCCCTCTTCGGGTTTACGCCATGTTTTGTATGATTGTTGTATTTCTTTATGTTTTTGCTCCGTATTATTATTAAACTTCCTCCTTTTCTCATTATAGTAAGGTTCACGACCTTCATCTTGTTTGTCGATGTCATCTAAGTTTCTTAAGAAATCTGTCGTGTCTATTATTGTCTCAATTTTAGCTATTCTCCATAATTGCTGCACAGTTTTAGGATAATGTCTGATGACATCAGTTACTAATTGTTTTTCAGGTATCGGATATGATAATGTTTGTGCCTTCTCAACCACATAAAGAAAATAACTAACCATGGTGGGGTGTGTACTTCTATTCCATTTATTTTGCACAAGGAATCTCTTTACTTTATTTTGTTCTTCTTCACCCCAAAACACTTTTAGGAAGTCAGCTTTAAAATCATCAAAAGTTGTCCAACGCACATTATTAATGCGAGCCCAATACTTGGCTTCACCTACTAAGCACTCTTGTGTTAAAGCAACATTCATTATTATTACAATTATTACACGAACACCTTCATCAACTTAGAAAATTTTAATCCATTTTTTCTATTATATTTCAAATGTTATTTATCTTTGTTATTGCAATATAATCGCCTTGTATTTATATGATTTGATACATTTGGAACATTTTAAGCAGGTTTTTAATAAATTTAGAGATTTTTAGAGACATTTTATGCGTTTACTAATATATATAATATTCGATATTCCAAATGGATATTTTTGAACTCTATGCTTATTATTTGCATTTTATTGTTTAAATTATAATTTCTATGACATTTTTAAATGTCTGTATAATGAATTTAATTATTATTTATTAATAATAATTATGAGGCGTCACAGCAGGCAAATCATCCTTCTTAATCATTTGTAACACCTAGGTGACCTTTTATACAGTCTTAGTGCTATTATTTTGGAGTCCATGTTCCATCTTAGACCTTTTGATTTTTTTTTATAGTTTTGCCATTCTCCTTGCAAAAATAATGCAAAAGAGGGGGATATTTTACATTTTAATATTTCATTTACGGAATCATTTTTGCTCAATACTTTGAGAAATGCTTCATTCTTTAGATGCTTTACAGTTTTTTGAAGCCTGTTAATTTTTTCAGATGATATTTCATTTTTATCAACATATCTTTATCCTTTTTGTTTTTCGTGGATGGATTTGCAGCAGGTAGTGCTAATTAATGACATGAAAATGTTGACTTATTAGTTTTTAATGCAGTCAATAACAATAATATAACGAAAATAATTTCTACAAATGTAATATTATTGGTGGCATCTATAATATAATCAGGTTATTGGAGTTTAGACATAATATTGCAAAGCTATTGCCTTGTTTGTAGAATGTGAAGGTAAATAATGTTTTCTTGTTAGAAAAAAGTGTTTATATTAGATTGTCTAATCTTTTTTATATAAAACCAATGTACCTTTACTTTCCATTTTGCTTAAATGTCATGTTACATATGCCATGTTAAAAATTAGTTAATTACTCCGTCACTTACGTCCATCAATGTACCAACGGTTTTTCTATGTACCAATGTAGACAAGTATGTAATGTAAATAAAAATTATGTATTTCAAAAACCACTTTTATTTGAAAAATAGTTCCTTTTTTATATTAAAATGATTGCTAATCGTTTCAAAAGTGGTTTATGAATGTAAAGTACCATAATTTACAAATAACTTTGTGCTTTTGTTTTCGTTTTAATTTAGCAATATATATCATTGAAACGAAAAACTACAAGCTATATCTATCTATATGGTATTTTACATTCTTAAGCCATTTTTGAAACGAAACAACCAAGACGACAACTAAAAAAAAATCACGTGTCAAAATTCCCGCGCAAAAAGTTTTAGGGGGCATGACAGAGATGGCGTGCATTATGGGTGCCATTTTCTTTGTTTGAAGTTGACATTCTTCCCGCCTAAGGGTATTAGTGTTCTGTGCTATGATTACGGACAAAAAAGCAATATGGCTGGCACAGACTAATCATAGATAAATAAATATGTAAAGACTAATTAGTAGATTCTACCTGAAATGGCTGCGAGCTGCGATCGATCTCCTAGTTAGTCTATACTTAGAAGATTCATGTAGAATCTACTAGTTAATCTGTGCTTAGAAGGGATGTTGAGGGGCGAGGGGGGGTGTTAACTGTCAAATATCATTTTGCTATGACATTTCCTATGTCCAATATTTTCTCTATGAAGATTACTGCCCGTGTTAAAACCCTGAAGAATAAAGAAAGACTCAAAGACGTCTAGTCACTTCTTAAAACTGTCAAAGTCGTCAAACGTCATATCTATTATCTAACACAACTGTCATAGCTGCCCTTAAAATAGGGTTATCATAACAAAATATTTTTAAATGATCATTTTTGTACGGCTATACCCTTTTACAAATTAATTTGTTAGTATTTTTATGTCATACTCAATTTTTTTTCTATTTATTTATGTAGTGTACATAGTGCTAGCCCAAAATCGAACATCTCCTTTCAGACCATAACTAGTGATAATTTTTTCTGCAAGGTGGTAACACTGACGGCGACGCCATTACAGCCACAGAGTAATCCTCTATCTACGTTGCGCTACCGTCGGCAGCGTAGATAGAGGATTGACTAGATAAAGCATTGGGGTATGTTTTTGAGATAGAAATAGGCGGGAGGTACTTTCACTGGGTTACCAGATATTGTTCCATTTCCCCCGTTATGGGTTTATTTATATTCACATCACTTACATTCATACAAAAAACTTAATTGTTACCATAAAAAAATGTTCTTTTATAATTCAGATGATTAATTCATTTCTCTTGAAAATACATTCTGTGACTAAAAACTACGGGCGGAAACGGCATAAAAACGGAATCATCATTCTGATTTCGACGGCACTAACTGAAGACGCTACTAGTACAAAGTGTGATATTGCTAATAAATAACAATATGTTATGTATGTACTTAAATATTAATTAAGAATAAAAATATTAAATAATAAACAAAAATTTCCTCGTGTCGAGTTTTGTTTTTACAAAAAAAAAAATCAATAATGTTTTAACATACCATTCCATCACAAGGTCAGTGCTGAACACAGACCTCCGAAAGGAAAGGCTTTCCACTCAGGTTTTGTAGTACAAAACACGGTTATGAGGCTACTCCCGCGATTTCCTGCATGTTTTGCTAATAATAATAATAATAATAATATTCCACAACTATCACACAACGCCATCTAGTCCCAAGCTAAGCAGAGCTTGTGTTATGGGTACTAGACAACTGATAAACATACTTATATATTTCTAAATACATAAATATTATAGATAAATTACACCCAGACACAGAACAAATGATCGTGCTCATCACACAAACATTTGTCCTGGGTGGGAATCGAACCCACGACCTCCGGCATAGCAGTCAGGGTCACTAACCACTAGACCAACAGGCCTGTCAAGTAGTGTCTTGTGTGCGGCAAGTTGTGGCGTACAAATTCTCTTGTACGCCACAACTTGCCGCACACAAGAAATGATATTACCCCGCGTCGTAAGCAATAATACAAGATGGGGATGGGGCAGTAGCACTTTCCCGATGAAAACTTAAAATAATAAATAACTGCGGTGGCCAACCAGCATAACGCATATTTTCACGCAGGCGTGGCAATTATGGTAAAAGTCATCCTATGAGGATATCTAGGGAAGGTCTTTTTTAGGTGGGTGGGTAGGTACTTACTTTTAGGTGGCTAATCATGTTACCTAATGGTTAAGGTGGTAAAATGTTTTAGTTAATATACGTTGTAAAGCATCAACAAGGGTTTGTTTTTGTAATATGTTGGTATATAAAATAAAAACGAATGTTTTATAATATTCTATTTTAATTTACCATGCAGTGTAAAATTATCTGCTACCCCATATCATTCCATGGGTGGTGTATGAGGCGACATAGGGAAACATCAAAGAAGATAAACAGCAGCATTTTCCTGA